TCCAGTCTGTTACTGTCACTTTGTTTTTGATACTTTAAAATACTGCTATCCTACAAAAATGCTGTAAAAATCCGATTTATTATGAGAGTAAAAAAATATTTTATTGAAAAAAAAATTCGGAATTTTTTCTTTCTTCCCTTTATTATTCAATATCGCGATAAATACCGTACCGTGGACTTGTTATCGCGATATTATCATACCGTGAGTTTTTGGTATCGTTACATCCCTACTAACCGGTATCAGTATGTTGTTACTTCGGCATCATTTTGAAACGTGTATTACAATTAAATCACGGTCAAATATGTTCATCTTGTTGTAACGATTCTCTCTCACTATTTTAGCATACTCAGCCCGGTTGTTGGCCCGGAAAGAACCTCGATTTTGGAGAGCCAGAAAAACTGAAAAAGTACCCGCTAGCCGGAACTACGCCAAGTGGAAACGCAACCAAAAACGGGCACGGCACGCTTAAACCGCGCTGTAGTGTTCATTTGAGACTCGTACTAATAGAAATACTCTGTGTTTCAGGATTAACGGGCGACAGCTGAGCGAAGTCTTCATCCAGCTGCCGTCTCGCAAAGAGCTGCCCGAATACTACGAGCTCATCCGCAAACCTGTGGACTTCAGGAAGATCAAGGTGAGCCTTTCTGCTCTTCGTGTTTACGGTTATTTTCTTGTGTGTTTTCTGGTCTGACTGTGGTTTCCTGTGTGCCATTAGGAGAGGATCCGCAGCCATAAGTACCGCGGCCTGAACGACCTGGAGAAGGACGTGATGCTGCTCTGTCAAAACGCCCAGACCTTCAACCTGGAAGGCTCTCTGGTGAGATCACACACCTGGAAGTGTAATCAGTACTTTACTCCACTACGACGACGTTAACTTTGACTTCTTACATTTTGAACACAAACACCTGTACTTTCAAACAAACAGAGAGTGATAGAAACATAAATATATTTCACATGAATGCAACTCTAAAACCTCGATGACCTCCAGATCTACGAGGACTCCATCGTGCTGCAGTCCGTCTTCACCAGCGTCCGACAGAAGATCGAGAAAGAGCTGGAGAGCGAAGGAGAGGACAGCGAGGAAGAGGAGGACGACCTCGACGACGGCTCAGAGTCTGAAGCTGAGGGTCAGTAACCTTTTTATTCTTCTTACACTTTAACACGGGGGGGGTAACCTCATTTGATGTGGCCCCGCGAGGGCTTGAATATAGGGTGGCCATTTTGTGTCTATTATGAGGACGTGTATACTTTTATCATTTACTTTGTTTTTCTGTTTTGTTGTTGTTTTCTTTCATGCTGTGATGGGGTGGGGGTGGGGGGTATATTTGAAATGTGCACTGTTACATCTCCAGTATGTATTTGACTGCTTTGATTTGTGTTTCAGCTCGTTCTGTGAAGGTGAAGATTAAGCTGAGCCGGAAAGAGAAGGGTGACCGGGGGGGAAAGAGTCAGAGACGGAGGGGCCGCGGAGCCCGAGCAAAACCTGTGGTGAGCGACGACGACAGCGAGGAGGAGCAGGAAGAGGTGAGGAGACGATGGATCACTATAAATAACATCAGTGGAAGAAACAGCTTGTGTAAAAAGAGTGCGTTTTGTTAAATGAAAAAAGCAAATGTGGAGTTCAAAGATCCTTTTAGATCAGGGGTGTCAAACTCAAGGCCCGGGGGCCAAATCCGGCCCGCGGCTTCATTTGATGTGGCCCCGCAAGAGCTTGCAAAGAATATAATACGTTTATTATACGGTTACAGAAGCAGGTTTCCCACAATGCATCTCGTTTTGTGACATGCGTACTGAAGAGACTTGCAATTATTTGCCCTAGACTTCTGCTTTCAGACGTAGTTAATTATGAAGTTATTATCCTATCCCATAATAATCCAATTCAGAGGCAATAATGTACATTATTTTATATATATATTTAAACATGTATATTTATATAGTTACAACCGGCCCTTTGAGTGCAACCATAATGCTAATGTGGCCCACGATGAAATTGAGTTTGACACCCCTGGGCTAAATGGACCGAGTTGACATTAGCAGATATGTTGTCATGCTGTTTGCAGCTAAGCAGCCAATTAGCCATCAAGACGTTAGCCGTGCATTTTGCCCGTAAACGTTTCTTTTTGATGGCTCGTTTAGTAAGGGGAGGACAACATACAGGACTGTCTCAGAAAATTAGAATATCGTGATAAAGTTCTTTATTTTCTGTAATGCAATTAAAAAAACAAAAATG